TGTGAAAGAATGCAATATTTTTAGAGGATATATTCAATACATGTCTTTTGGATTTCTTATTTTCAGCATGGGCATCGGCACAGCTCTCCACCTTGTACTATATTACCTTCCTATATACCTTAAAAAAACATATGTAACACCCTATAAACATACACACTAAATCCAGACATACCTGCAGGTCAGCGTAACAATGTTGAAGACACACACACATGGGCATAATCATCAATCCTATCTATATATCAAAGACATTTCATATTCGGTTCCCTATACCTGTTCTCTTTACTACTGGCTGTATAGTGTTGCCTCCTTTTCCTATGATATGAGAATGGTGAGTCCAGGACACGTCCATTTTCATCGTAACCTTATTGTGAGGCTCGAGTTCTTGTCGTACCATGGCACCGGCCACTCGTACGGCCTCTGGGTTTCCTACTATTCGCACATGTGGATCTGAAAAGACAGACACTAAAATTAGCTATGTGCAAATATCAAGCAAAAACATACACATATGCCTGTAAGTACATATATGCGTGTGTGTGTGTGTGTGTGTGTGTGTGTGTGTGTGTGTGTGTGTGTGTGTGTGTGTGTACGTGNTCCTCCTCCTCCTCCTCCTCCATCTCCTCCTCCTCCTCTCAGCTCCCTGGTTCTCGAGACAACAATACTGATTGAGCAATACTTCACCGAGCGGAGGAAAAAGTGGGAGAAGAAGAAAAAAAGGAAGAAAAAGAAGAAGAGAAAGTGAGAGAGAGAGGGAGGGAGTGGGATAGGGAGAGGGAAAGAGAGACAAACAGATAGGCAGAGACAGAGAGAAAAAAAGAAAGAGACAGAGATACGGAGAGAGAAAGAAAAATAGAGAAAGAGATACAAAGAAAGAGACATAGATACAAAGAGATAGACAGAGATACAGAGAGAGACAGACAGACAGAGAAAGAAAGAGAAAGAGAGAGAGAGAGAAGGCCCGATGCATCAAATCAACAATTAGCATATTACCATAATACGAAGGTACGGCTCGATATGGCAGTGAGGTGTTGATATCATGTAATCACAGGTGTCGAGATGGAAGGGTCGGGGAGGCTGCTGGGAAGTGAACGAACGGGGGAGAAAGGGAAGAGACGGAGAGGGAAATAGAGGAAATGGAAAAAAAGGAAGAAAGGGGGTTAAGCGACAAGTGATGAGAAGAAGAGGGAAGGAACGGAAGAGAAAAGGCCAGTGACGGAGAGGGAAATAGAGGAAATGGGAAAAAGAAGAAACGGGGTTAAGCGACAGGTGATGAGAAGAATAGGCAGCAAACAGAGGAGAAAGGGTAGAGACGTAGAGGGAAATAGAGGAAAGGAGGGAAAAGGATGATGAAAGGGGGTTAAGGAGCGAAAGGTGATGAAACAGGTGTATTCAGAAGAAGAAGAAGAAAGAGGCAAAGAACGGGAGAGAAAAGGTCAGTGACGGAAAGGGAAATAGAGGAAAGGTGGAAAAAAAGAAGAAAAATAAGGTTAAGAAGCGAAAGGTGTGTTCAGAAGAAGAAGGAAGAGGCAAAGAACAGAGGAGAAAAGCCAGAGACGGAGAAGGAGATATAGGAAAGGTGAAGAAAAAAGAAGATAAAAGGGATTAAAAAACGATAAGTGATGAAACAGGTGAATTCGGAAGAAGGAAGGGACAAGAAGCGGAGAAGAAAGACCGAACACGAAGAAGGAAATAGAAGAAATGTAATGAAACAGGTGTATTCAGAAAAAAAAGGAATAGGCAAGGACGGCGATAAGGTCGTAAATAAACCAAGAATTCCTTCAGGAGGAAACAGACGTCAGACGAAGATGAGGAACCTGCAAGGATGTAGAGAATGCAGAGATTATGCAACAATAAGGAATGCGTGTAATGAGGGAGGGAAAGAGGGAACCCTCTCGAAGACCAGACAATAGGAGGGAAGCGAGGCGAGAGCAAAGGGTTAAGAGGAAAATGAGGGAAAACGTGCGGAAATGAGAAACAGTGTGGAGACCCGGCCGCGAATTTTTTCCCACTCGCCGTTCAGACAGATGGATATATAAGACGTGACTGATGACTATATTTCACGTCTTGCAGTTATATTTATTATATACTATTTATTATATTTATATATTTATTATCTATTATATTTATATAATATATATAATATAATATATTTATATTTATATAATATATATAATATAATATGATATATAATATATTTATATAATATAATATTATCTATTATATTATATTATATAATATTTATTATATTTATATATTTATTATCTATTATATTTATATCTATTTATATTTATTATACTGGGAAGTATTTNCCTCCCTCACAACATACCCATCACTGCCCCCACGTAACCCACGAACCAGATTCCAGTCGCACCCTTATACGCCGGAGAGAATGAGGAATGAAAGGTGGGGGGAGGGGGTTGAATGAAGAGAACGAAGGGGGGGCTGGGGAGGGGAGCTGTTATCCAGTCGACATAGCTACTCTCAACAACCACATACAGTGTAAAACACCGAAGAAATAATATATGATAACAACGAATATTTTTCAGGTGAAATATTTTCCACCTGAGCCACAGCATACCTGGCACAATGAAATGAAAACCATAAAACTAAAATTCAGCAAAAATATATCAATGTAAATTCTTCTCATTCTTTATAATACATAAAGAGAGAGAGAGAGAGAGAGAGAGAGAGAGAGGAGAGAGAGAAGAGGAGAGAAGAAGAGAGAGAAGAGAGAGAGAGAGAGAAGAGAGAGAGAGAAGAGGAGAGAAGAGAGAGAGAGAGAAGAGAAGAGAGAGAAAGAGAGAGAAGAGAGCAAAAGAGAAGAAACAAAAAAAAACATACATAAAACACAACCAAAAAAAAAATAAAATAAAAAATCCACAGAAGACCTAACGAAAACACCCCCCCCCCCACACAAAAAAAAAAAAAACGAAAAAACAACACATCATCAGCATGTGGTGGAGGAGACCCGACCAGCGTACTCACGACACGACGATCCCCAGCATGCAGATGAGCCCGTGGCGGAAGAGGGGGACCTTCTGCCCACAACAATCATACGCTGTCAAAAAAAAACAAACAACAGGTTAGTGGATTTGCCTTCTGAAACTTGGGGACGATGGGGATGGGGGTGGGGGGTGGGGGTTAATGGATGAGGGAAGGAGAGGGGAGAGGAGGAGGAAGAAAGGGAGGGGGAGGAGGGAGGAAAGGGAGGAAAAGGAGGAGGAGGAGGGCCGGAGAGAAGAGAAGAAGAAGAGAAGTAGGAGGAGGAGGGAAAGGACGATGAAGAGGGAGGAAGGAAGAGGAAGGGGAGGAGGAGTAGGAGGTGGAGGAGGAGGAGGGATACGAGGAAGTATGGAATAGAGAGGATAGTGGGGCACCCGGAGGAATGGAAGGAAGGAAGGATGTGGGGCTAAAGATGAATAGAGGAACGAGGACAATGTAGAAGAATGAAGGAAAATGATGAAAAAGAAGAAAAGAATAGAGAGAATATAAAAGGCAGAAAGGGAACTAGAAGAATGAATGTGAAACTAGAAGAATGAATGTGAGACCAAAAGAAGGAACGAAAAGAGAGACAGAGACAGATGAAGAAGGACAGAGAAGGGAAGGGAAAGACAGGAGGAGACAAGAAGGGACAGACAGGGGATGAGAGGGTAAGATATGGGGGAGAAGGAGAAAAGGAGAGAAAGAGAGAGGGAGAGAAAGAGGAAGGGAAAGAGAAAGTGAAGAAGAGAGGGAGAGCAAGAGAAAAAAAAGAGGAAAAGAAGGAGAGAAAGAGAAAAAAAGAGAGGAAGAGAGGGAGAGAGGGAGAGAGGGAGGGGTATATGAGCACCCACCCGCCTGCAACACCAATCGCCACTCCCTCGTGCTCCTCGTGCAATGACCGCCCCCTCTTCCCCCCTCCCATCTCCCACCCCCACCCAGGCCATTGCCATCCATTCATCACCCATCCATCCGTCCCTTCCACGCACAACTCTTCCATCACCGGGGCCGTGATCTGGGGGGGCGGGGGGAGGGGGGGTGTATGGCCGCTGTAGTAGAAAGATGCGGTGGGGAGGGGAAGGGAGGAAGGGAAGGAGGAGGGAAAGGAGGAGGGGGAAGGAAGGGAGAATGTCATGATGGGAGGTAATTTGAGGGAGAGGACGCGTAAGAGAGTGAGAGAGAAAATGGGAAAGGAAGGAGGGAGAGAGGGAGAAAGAGAAGGAGAGAAAGAGGGGAAGGGGAGAGAGGACAGAGAGAGACAGACAAAGGGATTCGGGGAGAGAGAGAGGAGAGAGGAGAGAGAGAGAGAGAGAGAGAGAGAGAGAGAAGAGAGAGAGAGAGAGAGAGAGAGAGAGAGAGAGAGAGAGAGAGAGGAGAGAGAGAGAAGAGAAAAAGAAAGAGACAGACAGACAGACAGGCAAGACAGAGAAAGAGGAGAGAAGAGAAAGAGAGAAAGGAGAGAAACAGACAGACATAGGAAAGCGAAGAGGAGAGCAGAGCAGAGCAGAGCAGAGCAGAGGAGAGAGAGAGAGAGAGCGAGAGAGAGAGAGAGAGAGAGAGAGAGAGAGAGAGAGAGAGAGAGAGAGAG